AGCGGGCTGGGGCGCAGCCGCTGCGCTGCCTCCTCCGCCGTTGCCTCAACGACTCGGCAAGTTTTGCAATGCGATGCTGACCGCAAATGATTCCCGCAAAGCCGAGTTCAAACCAGACTGCCTCCTCCATGCAAATGCTTTCTTTAACGAAAACCCGCAGTCTTCGGAGGGCAACGGCCAAACCAAAGGCGAACAATTGCACCCGCTAACGAGGCACTGCGCTTTGCACTGACTTCAGGGTGCAGCAGCGCCCGTAGGGCTGCCACCAGCCTCCCCGCGTATTCCCATCCCACATGCTAAACACACCTCGACGGCTACAGGACGAGGTTTGGAGATGAGATTCCGCAACAAAAGGTATTTGCTTATGCAAATACCTGTGCAGCAAGACTGACAGATCCCATGCCGTAAGAGTGGTGATTGGGTTCTGCATAGAGACCTGCCACAAATAAAATCTGTGAAAGGACCAACCTTCTAGTCTTAGGTTTTCCTCTTCTTCCTCCTTCGGAGTTGGCAAGTTCTGCTGCACATATTACTTAAATGAAACAGCCCCATCCATTCTCCTTTGCAGTTTATTACTATATTGTCAGTCTATTGTCCTTTATTTGCAATGGATGCTGGTGTTGATGCTTCTCACTTAGACAGAAAGAAGACGAAATTCTATTCGTTTACATGTTTTATTGTTGTAAACATTAAAATTGTCTTTCCCAAAGAAAGAGTTATCAGGAAAAAAAAAAAAAATCAGCGTTTCTAACTGTCATACACCATAGAAAAAAAGGCAGTGACTCGTATAATGTGCCATACTGGAAATATACAAAGAAAAATTTTACAGAATATGGCAATATTAAAAATATTACTCAAACATAAAATAATATATTAACCGACAATTTTAGACATAAAAAAAAAAACAAAACAAAAATTCAAAGTGCTCAGTAATTTCCAGGGAGTTATGTATATTATAAGCACTCTGGAAACAGTCAAAAGCTGCTGCATGCAAGATTTGTTTAGCTTTAGACAACAAAATAATCAAGATATAAACTTCTTTTTTTAATCAACATCAACAGTACATACAACACTTACAAACAAGGAATGTCGGACGGTGTTTACAAACACTATGTGTCCCTTTGTCGAGGATTTCGGGTTTTGTAATACTTGTGCCCACCTATTTTACAATTGAGAAAATGTTTGAAGCTTAGATAACTACCAATCTTTATAAAAGCTAACAGACTACATAGTGTCTGAAATACTATTTATAGAATATAGACATTACTGAAATAGCAAGTGCCTATAACATTGTCACCCTAGAATCATCATGCTTTCCTTTTAAGGAGTGATTTTTTTCCTCCTTTTTTGCAAACATGTTTAGCTTCTATTTTTCTTTTTTTTTTAGTATTGTTTTCCGTATTTATTCATAAATAGGCACAGAATAATCAGAATAATTTTTAAAAAGCCAAACTGATAAATTTGCAAGCCTCTGCCTCCTTTAATGACATGCCACCCACGCAACATTTAGGTTTTAGTATATATTACAGCTTTCTTTTACAGCAGAAAACTTTAAGAGGGTGAGACTTGTGGGTCACTTTAATACTTTTGTCATCATATGAGTCTTAGCTGCGCACCCGGCGTTGCCAGATATGTTCATCTTTTTAATCAGAAGTCCTTAATAATAAATCATTTTTAAGCTGATAATAAAAAGTTTATACCATGGTAATTGTGTAGTCCGTGATCTGAATCCATGATGCCCCAGAGCCAAAATGCCCATTCATGTTCTGCCTGCAGGAAGTTAGCAACAGTTTTTTTGGATGGGAATCTGGCACCCAAAGGTGCTGCTTTGCGCCCAGATGAATCCCCCTTCAGGCAGGTGGAGTTTCTTTTAAGTTCAATGTAAGTGCATGGGAAGAGTCTTAAAAAGGTAAAGTGTCCAGAAAAAGTTTGTCGATTATTGCTGGAGGTGGCACCAAATCTTCCAATTTCAGGTAGAAAATGCGTTGCAGCCCCTGCGTGCAAAGAGTGCGAAGTTCAGGGAGCTTCCCCAAGAGTTTGGACAAATAATTGGGGCGATTCAACCCCCCGTTATTGAAAGTCACGTGGTCTTTGAGACAATTTACAATCTTGTTTTGAAGTTCTTCCACCCTCTTGGGTTCTTTAAGCCCATGCCTCTCTGCAAAAGACAAGGATGCACGACATTATAGGTCTGACATTGCGGAGAACGCAGAGGGGAGATGCCTAGTGACGCTGAAGGGAAAAGGAACAGGAGGACACTGACCTGTTACCATAGCCAGGGCAGCGATGCAAGAGAACGCAGATATATCGATATTCATGTTTTGCAAGTTGGAGGAGAATTCCACAATGGAGTCAATCCATTCCCCAAAGCCGCGGACACACTGCAACCGGTGCAGGACTACCCCATTGCAAAAGATAAGCTTGCCCTCCACTGGGTTTGACCTGTAAGGAATATCACAGCTCCAAAATGAACAGGTGAATGAATGAGAAAAGGAAGGGAAGACAAAGCTAGAAAAATAGAAAAAGCCAAAAAAAGAGAAAAAGAAAGAGATAAACAGAGAAAGAAAAAAAAAGGAAAAAAGGAAAAAAGGAAAAGAGAAGCGAGATGGGGGGGGAAGCTAAACAACTAATTACTTGAGGAGCAATAAATGAAGGATTTAAGAGGCACCTAATTACTGAGGAGTTAATAAAATGCAGATCAGTGGACCTTGAAAGGATCTGATTTCATAATCACCCAGAAGTCCCCCCTTGGATTTTGGCCGCTTACCTGTAAGCCAGTCGCAGCACAAACAGCTCCAGGAAGGCAGATTCGAAGAGCAGGTCTTGGTCTGTTTTAGGAAGATCAGTGAAGCCAGGAATTTTTTCTGCCCATCCTCGGATGATCTCCATGGAGCCAGTCAGGAGATCATAGAACTGCTGGATGTGCTGAGTGTCATCTCCACTCATCTGGTAGTCAGGGCTAGCCTGGAACTGGAAATTCATTTTAAAAAGCACTTAATGAGGTTCTCTAAAGTATATAACCCGTGAAATTGCTAACCCCATTTCTAGTAGGGGAGCCAGGTTTTTATAACAATTAAACCTCTCTCTGACCAGTAAGGAAATTAGATGTTCCAGGGCAATTAATTCAATTAGGAATGGTGCTATGAGGTCGCCGCTTTAAATATGTAAATTGCCGTTTCTGTACAGACTAAACGCAGGGCCCACGCTGCACGGAGAGACGGCCGCTCCGATCC